AAAAAAAATCTACACAGTTTTATTCTATGCATGTAGACTTATTTTATAAACACGAATTTCATCTATTATTATAAATTCATTACACATACATTTATAACGATAAAAATATCTTGCAGAAAGATATTGGTTCTAATTAGGTTTGTCGCAGAAAGTCAGAAAAAATTCTGCCACAGGGATAACTACTATAATGAAACATTAAACCATACTGTTTTAAACTGCTTTAATAATTTAATTTTGATACTGTTTTAAACTGATACTTCAAATTCAGTTATCTTGTTTTTTAAATTTAATCTTTTTGTCCATTCTTAGCTATTTCTATAAGTTTTGTCTTATTACAGGTTCTGGGTAATCTTTATTTATGCTCTAGTAAGCATTTTTGTCTGCAGATCTATACATTTATAACTTTTCGTTATTATCGAAAATTATGCAAATTTATACTTAAACAATTTAAACTTATTAAGAAATGTAAACTTATATTATGAAATTAAGAAAAAAAATCTACACAGTTTTATTCTATGCATGTAGACTTATTTTATAAACACGAATTTCATCTATTATTATAAATTCATTACACATACATTTATAACGATAAAAATATCTTGCAGAAAGATATTGGTTCTAGTTAGGTTAGTCGCAGAAAGTCAAAAACAATTCTGCCACAGGGGTCAATTTTAAGTTTCTCATGATAAAAGTTACAATTTTTTTTAATTTATAATATGTGGGAGAAAAAAAACAGTGCAATTAGTTTGATAAAAGTACATTAAAAAAGAGCCTCCAAAATATAGATTTTTAATGAAAGCTTCTGTAATTTAAAACGGAAACAAATTCTGTCTGCTGGTGTTCTTTTCAAACACTATGAATATTCAGCTTCATTTATATACACAGTTATTTCTTCCTAAAGTTTGTGTCTCTTTAACAGCTCTAGTCTTTTCAGCAACTCTTTTAGTGTGCTTATTGAGGCAAGATATTAGAGAAGCAGCAAGAAATTTTTAAAAAGAAATTGTTTAATAGATAGAAACATTAAAAATAAAATGTTTTCTTGTATGTCAAAAAGTGTCCAGAAAATTGACACTTGTGGAAAACGGTGGTCTGGTTATGGGACTTTGTGCTGTAGTCGTTTTATTCTTTTCCTTCTTAAACTATCCAAATCTAAATATTCTTGTATAGTATTTTACTTATGTAAACAAGACTAAACAGTTAAATAATGCTCAAAAATATTCTTATCAAATTGTCATTGTACTTATTAATTTTAATAAGAATTCTCATCTTTATATATTTTTTTAAAAAAAAGGAAATAGCTTCTTTGTTTTAATTGTTTCAACTATTATGAACTTGAAGTATAAAGTTTAATAAGCATGATAAGTTTCTGCAATATAACAATTTAATTGTAAATGTTATAATTTTTAAAACCTTAAAGATGGGTTGAATCTGCTTAGCCTTTTTCAGTTTCTGATAATTGTTTAGGAGAATTTTATAAATTTGTCTGCACAGTCTTAAAACATTGTTGATTAAAACCTTGTAGATTTTAAAACGTTTTTGTTTTAGTACAACACAAATTGTTGTAATATTTTACAAAGTTATTTATTACCATTTCAAGTATTTTTATGAGTGCGATATTTTGTAAAACATTCACTCTGATCAAGAAGAATTGGACACAATTAAAATGTATACCTTGTTTTGTTTATATATTTCTCTTTCTGCCTCAAAATTAGGATGCCAAAAAAAGTTAAGTAATGCACATAAAATTTAAATCTAAGGCAGTGTACATAAAACTCAAGCAAAAACACAAATCTTGGTGATCCTTGCTAAGAAGTTGCAGTTGGAAAATGTAAATTAATGTGACTTGCTCATTAAGTCTTTATGTAATTTTAAAAATACAATGAATTGAGAAATATCTATTGATATTGATATTTAAAAATAAATGTGAGTAAAATATGTAGTATAGTTAAATATTTTTTTCTATGCAGCAAGTACAGAGACTTTAATAAATCTTTTGGATATTTTTGTGCAGTAAATCTTATATTTTCTGCATAATAATGTTTGTAGCCTTAAACCTGAATGAAATTACTCTTATCTTTGCTAATTATTTTATTTATATTTTTATACATTGTGTTTTTTGCTTTATATTATTTGGAAGAAAAAAAAACTAATGAAAAATATTATAAATTTATTTAATATAATTGAATAACATTACAATCAAGTTTTGTACAATTTATATTGGTACCAATTTTTGAAAATTTTTGCCCAAAATTTATTACTTATCTCTGTATCTTTCCAATTAATTTTTTTACGTGGTAACATGTTTGGTTAACAAAGTCAGTTAGGTTTAGCTTTATCATTTAATAAGTACACACTTCTTTATTTGATATTCAAAACTTTTTGCTCAATATGTTAATTTATTGTCTTTATTTTAGTTAAAATAACAAATGTCATAAATCTTTTTATTTTATTTTTATTTAGTTGAAAAATATCCAGAGCATGATAAGGCTGACTAAAGGGAACTTAGAAGCTTTAAATGCAAGATTTGCAGAATACCAACATCCTCCATCTATGTATATAACTGTAAGTAGATTTTCTTATATTTTTAATGTGAAAGGAGTACTTAATTATTTGGGGCAGACGTAAAAAACCTATTCCCACAATGCCTATATTAGATTAGGGACGCAAGGAACAGTGATTTAGCCAAATGCTGAATATCCGGCCAAAAAAATCAGCTGAATATTGAAAATTTGGATAAAGAAATTTGCTGAATGCCAAAATGTTTTTTCAAAAAATCATTACAAAATATTATTTATGTATAAATAAGTTAAGTTATTGAAAAATAATCAAAACTTAGCTATATTAATGGTATGGGTTAGACATGAAAATAAATGGGTTAGACCCTGTGGCGAGTCAGCAAAAAAAGTGGCGACTTCAATTAAATAAACAGCACTTTTTTTTAAAAATTGTTTAATGATAAAATTATATCAATGCAGAATGACTCTGAAAAACAGAATTAGTTTGTGATGAAAAAATTCATGCGGAAGGAGAGTTCTTTAACATTTTAAGTGTTTCAAAGTTGTAATGTACACATTAAATGTATTTTGCCTCCCCAAATATTTCAGTATGCTTAACTAAATTCAATATGTTTAACTAAATTTGTCACATATTTATTTTACTTTTATTGTGGAATTAACTTTTTATAGCCATAGATTATTTCTAACATGAATTTTTAAAAAAAATATAATTTAATCCAACAAGAAGTAGTTGAAAAAAGTAGCTTTTGAAATGAAAAAGACCTATTGTTATAGGTCCCTGACTCATTTGACTTGAGAAAAAAATGGCTACTTAGTGATTAGAGTCTACTGGCCATTGGCCACGAACAGTTCTTCATGGACGCAAGTAGTAATGCTCCAAACATATATTTTCGGCTTCAGAACTTTAGATTTGACTGTATTATTATTATAGTTGCAAGTTTGTCTCAATGCGAATTTCCATGATGATTTCAGCGAATAATCAGTTTTGTTTCTAAAACTCACGAATTTTTCAGAATAGTATGATTGGTATGATAGGTAAAAATTTTCGTGTTCTTTTTATAATGTTTTCCGGTTTTTTAAAAAATACTTACATTTTAATAGTGACTAGTACTTTTCTGAAGCTTCAAAATTGATAATGTATAATTCAGGGATGGGATTTTTCCTCTTTTTAGCAAATTTCCGCTTTTTTCACTTTTATCTCTTGAATTTCAGCTTTTTTATCAAAAATTCAGATTTTCTAAAAATTTCACTTTTTTTATTAAGTATTCCGCTTTTTCAGAAAATTCACCGATTTTCAAAGAGAAACAGAAAATTCAAACTACATAGCTACCAATCCTTTCTCATTTTTACTTATTTCAGCTATTTTCTCCCCTTTTGCACGCAGCAGATAAGATTTTCCGAATTTTTTACCCGC